TGGGATAGGAAATGCTCCTGGCCTTATTACTTATTTTTCTTCCTTTCTTTATTCAAGGGTGTGGTCTTTTCAATTTGAGAGCTCAAATTCTCTCAAATACAGGAAAAAAATAATAGGTAATAAGGTAAGCACTGAGTCTGTGCATCTGCTGTACACTAAGCTTTTTGATATGACTTTGTTAGACCAAGAATCTTCTCTGTCGGCAGATCCATGTTATAATAACTAATATATTCAAGTCTGGACAACTGAGGCTCATCAGGTTATTCTTTTATTCAGCCATCATCACCAGACAACTGTGCAGAAGATAATTCTTCATCACAGTTCCAACATGTTTGATTCACAATGATATATCAGGACTATATGATAAATCCCATGTTTTCCATGTACCATACAAATCTATACTATGCAAGTAAGAAGGGAAAAAGACTGTGACAGTCACCTAAGAAGAAGGCATGTCAAAATATTACATTCTGGCTAAACATTCAAACAAAGGTTATTGTGAGTGAGGGCATCTAGAGTTAAAAAAGAAGTGTGTACATAGGTCATATGCTCTGACTCAGGCTGAGGTACAGAGCAGTAATTCTGTCTTAAAGAATCAGATCATCGATGCTGCATCTATAACAGCATGTACAAAGCAGCAAGCAAGCCTTATCCTGACCCCATGTCCATAAGGGAAAAGGTCCATGGCTAACACAAGCTCACCCTTCTAAACAGCCCCCCAAGAATAGAGATGAATGTGAGTCCATACAGTGACCTCAGAAATGTCCTTAAAGGTATTGTAATGGAACACTTGCATATGAACTTTGCTTGAACTCTTTCCTATGTCTGATCAATGCTCGTGTGCTGTGTTCAACAATAACTCATGTAGCAACACAATTGTGTACCCTTAACTATCAAATGCCCTGACTGTTGCTATGCACTTGGCAGATGTAACCTCAGAGTTCATGTCCTTTCTTAATGGCTGCAGGTTCCTAGTTACTGATATACAGACATGAAAGTGCGGTTTGTCTACTTCTTGCCCATAAAGTATAGGAATGCATGGCTGAATATTACATCCTTGATAAGCATGTTGCAAAGTCAATATTGGCCGTTACACCTCTCAATTAAACAATCATGTTTCTTTTGCTGTACAAATAATTGTGCACAATGAATGATAGTCCTCAGTATGAAGCAACCAGCACTGAGGGGTGTCTCTGTAGGCTAAGGTACAGACCTGGGATTTATTTTTAAGAACCATCATCTAACTGAGAACTTTGGAGCAAGGTGAGTGATGAGATGATTGATTATGTCGGATTCAATTTAGGTTACAACAAATCTACAGTACAGGGACATCTAAATATTGCTTTTTGATTTGTTTGGAATTAAAAAATTTGATCGGTTATTTAATTTGAAGAGCACTGAGACAAAATAATAAAATGTGGCTTATAATTATGTGGACTTTTGAATTATTTAAAAAAAGATTTATAGAAGTTAATTAGAAAATTAAATAGATGATAATGGTTCTTACTCTGATTCATTCATGTTTATTTTTTTAGGTTTGTTCAGTTGCTGTATTTTCATTGTTTCTGGTTCATCAGTGTGGGCTGACAGAATAAATGGAATCATTCAGAGGATGCCTGCAGCTCCTTGGATTTCTTGGATCATTTTTTCTCATCATGTCCTTTTACAGATGGGACATGAACCAGCAAAACAGAGGTAAACTGTGTGTGTGTTAGTTTCTCACTGTTCCTGCCGCATCCTGCTCTTGGTTTAAAATGGATTTGCTTCATTCTATTCATTGTTTGCATTTTGTGCTCCACTGCCTATGAAATGCTATTAGTACATGGACTGGATATGTGACCTCACTTCTGATTACTTTTGGATTATCATGTATTATGTTTGATGTAACACAGTTCATTTCTTTACCTGACTGGGGCTTTGACCAAGAAAGATGTTTGCCATTTGGCTTTGGCCTCTTATCTCTTTGAGTCAAAATTCCATCCCAAAGCAGAATTATTTTAGCACTGAACACTTTGGACGACTGGATGTATCTTCTGCTTCGTCTTATCACAGCAGAGAGGATGCATAACTTACAGGAAGTGAGAAAACAGCTGCTAAAAGAAACCTGTGGTCGTGACAAAGAGGCCTTTTCCGAGAGGAAAGTCAGTCTCGAAGAGATGAGTGAGAATGAGATGAAGAACCTCATTGTGGATGACAAGCATGGCATCATCTATTGTTACATTCCTAAGGTGATACAAACGTGAACACACAGCACACGAGATCGTTCAAGAACATACTTTCTGGTTACCTTAATGCCCAGCGGGCTGTATACTCTGCCTTGTTCTTATCTACAGATTGCATGCACCAACTGGAAGAGGGTGATGTTTGTACTGAACCAGAGCGAGCCATATCCTGACCCTATGTCCCTATCTGGTGACCTGGTTCATAGCCCTGACAAGTTCACCCTTCTAAACAGCTTCCCAAGAGTAGAGATGAAGGTGAGTCCATACCGTGACCTCAGAAGTGTCCTTAAACTTACAAACCAAAAGTTTCAAAAGTTTGTCTCACTGTGAGTTGATTCAGTTTCAACACAGTAAGTATGACATAGTGTTCATGTGTATTTTATTTTGATGACAACAGGCAAAGTTGAAGCACTACACCAAGTTCCTTTTTGTACGGGACCCGTTTGTCCGTCTCATCTCCGCCTACCGAGACAAATTCCAGAAATACAACGAGTATTTCTACGACAACTTTGCCCGAGACATCCTGCGTCTCTACGACAACCAGTCTAATCCACCACAGACGGCGGCCGAGGCGTCAGCATCAGGCGTGCGCATCTCATTTCACAACTTTATTCAATACCTGCTGGACCCAAAGACAGAGAAGGAACTGCCCTTTGAACCTCACTGGAGGCAGATGCACCGTCTTTGCCACCCCTGCCACATACAGTAAGGACATTTTTAGCAGCAGGGTGAATGCTACAAAGATCCTGTCCTCTGTGTTGTTTGTGGAAATCTACATGAAGGTTGATACTGGTTGGTTTTTTGTCTCAGGTATGATTTCATTGGCCATCAAGAGACTCTACAGGAGGAGGCTGAACAGCTACTGAACATCTTGAAGCTGCAGAACGACATTAAGTTCCCTCCTTCCTATGACAACATTACACCTCAGGAGTCTGTGTCGGACTTTTTCAGAACAGTACCTCTAGTGGAAAGGAGGAAGCTGTACAAGCTCTATGAGACTGACTTTAGGCTGTTTGGCTACAGAAAACCAAATGAATTGCTTGATGGTTGAGATTAAGTCATGATGACTTAACTTGTCTCTATAAAAAACGTTCCCCACTCAGCCAACAATAGATTGTTACTTGAACAGAAAACTATTTAAAGAGCTGGCTTTGTCATCTAAAAGAATTCAAAGCACTGCAGCTGCATCATGGCACTGGACGTGCAATAATTGATCTTTATATTCAGTCTATGTTTTACACCCTTTATACGTGTGACTAACTTCACTTGTTTGGTTAATCGCTCTGACACACTTTTGACTTGGGTGCTGTTAATCAGTTAAAGTTCTGTAGTGTTGCATGTACATGTCAGTTATTAGTAATACAGGTAGAAGCTACTATTTAGAGCTGATGTTAAAATTGGTTCATTTATATTGGTTAATAACTGAGCAAGTTATTACTCAGTTAATAACTCAGCAAGTTTCCAAGTTTTTCTGACTTGAGGCAAGTGGATCTACTTCTAATTTTTTATTTCTACATATGTATATCTTTATTTCTTTAGCCTTACTTGATTTTTATATTGCTATGTTTATACCTGCTTTTGCTCTTTCACCTCTTTCTCAGGGGCTCTGTAACATTTGAATTTCCCTACGGGGATTAATAAAGTACTTCTGATTCTGAATCCATCCCTCTCCTCTGGACCACATCTAGCTCCTCCATCCCCCTCCTCTGGACCACATCTAGCTCCTCCATCATGTCTGTATGAAGGGACACATCTCATAGCAGTGCAGTGACAGCTCAGAATGGACATATGTAGCTCAATAGCATTAGCTTGAATGAATTAGACCAATGACTTACAAGTTGTAGGCTGCAGGGACACATGTGGACAACTTCACCAAGGAGTTCCGCAGCAGCACTTCCACATGTCCACGAAGAGAGACCATTGAGAGCTGCGTCCATTTCTCCAGTCTCTGTTGTACACTGGTGGCTTTTAAGCTAACGTCCAGTCGGTTGAATCCAACCAGTGAACTTAGCGTTAGCTTAGCATTAGCCTGTAGCAGGAGCAGGAAGTCCGCTCGATAAAAACCGTCATTCTCAAAACTCCGCAAAAATGTCGAGGGCACAAACTCGCGGTGTGAGAGGCAGGTTCCTCTCAGGCTGAGTTAAACTTATCCGTCACTGAGTTTAACTTAGTTTAGAGCTGTGCTGGTTAAAGTTAGTGCTCAGGTGACACCTGTCATATCACTCCGCCAATCTCCATCCAGGAAGCTGTGTTCTGTTTGTCAACAGGATTCTGTAAAAACTACGCAACTGATGAAATGAGCTGTTGTGGAGGGGCGAGTCACGACCAAAGGAAGATGTCTCAGAATAATACAAGGATCTTGGTGAAACATGAAACAGGCATGTTTAAGAGACTGTTAGAGAAATGTGCACAAGATCCTGGTGAATTTAAATGTGGTTAAATTAAATATTTATAATATGATGCACCTTATGCATCATATTATAAAGTCCAAGTCTAAATTTAGAGCACATCACAGTAAGAGTGTATACAGTGTGTAAAATGAACAAGTTCGCCAGGTTCTGTGCAAAGAATGTACCTGCAGCTGTAAAACTCACTCGTAAAATATCTGAGAACACATTATAGCATTTTCCCCATTTCCAGCCTCTATGATAAACTCTCACTTAAGATAAGGGAACTAATCCTACATTTAAAAACTCAGTATGTGAATGGATTCTGCAGACATAACCCATGTTTCTGTTTTAAAAGGTAAACGTTCACTCATGGGCGCAGAAAATATAACACACTTTTGAATAGATAATCACAGATACAGGGGGAAGAATTTAGTTTTGCTCGGTCCAAAAGAAGCACACCACACAGTTAGTTTGAAATCTCGATGGGATCAGAATGCGAACAGTGATACCAGGTAAAACTTTTTTGACTTTATTATAAAACAACAGGACAAAAAAAACCAATACATTTTTACTGTGAAATCCACACTCACAAAGCAAGGTGATTGTGGCTCAGTGTCTGTTTTGCAGATTAATTCCACATCCTCGTGAAAATCATTTGCCTTCTGATTAACAGTGAAGGTGAACAGTGAAACATCTGGGCAGTTGTAGACTTTCTTGCTGATAGGTGAACTTGAACCTATCATTCACTTGACCTCTGTGGCAGTTTAGGCAGGAACAGCCCCGTCATGGTTCTTTAGTCTCTGACAGTGACATCTCTTTGTCTGTGACTCAGCAGTCCTTTGGTGCCTTTGGACCATCAAGGGTTTTGAGTGATGTCAGAAATACAGAGAGGTGCTGAAAGATGCAACGTGCACTCTTTTGCGGTGCCATTACGAGAAGAGGACGAGTGCGAACGACAACAGACATTAAGGAGAAAGACAATATGGCTTTTGGTCACACGTGGACGTTTGGTCTTTGATTCACTGTGAAATGCGCAGTGTCACGTTTACTGTCCACAGCTTATATTTACAGTTTTATTTTTTTACATCTGATACATTTATGTCGCTGTGACAGTCCATCCCAACACCCGCAGTTCTGTCTATATACGTCTCTCATACTCACATATTGTCCTCACGTCTCTGTAGTCTCTCTTCGTGCCACAGCTCCCTTTCAAAGGCATTTGGCAGTAGCCATTTTGCATCCCTCCCAGCAGTGCTCAGTTTATTTGGAGGAAGCAAGAATGGTGCAATTATTCATATTTTCTATCACTTTGTCATATTGAGCTTTCCTCACACCGAGCCAGTGGTGCTGGTGATTTAAACATGGGAAAGCTGGCAAGCTCCTCCTCTAGTTCTTTTATTCCTACCCCTAACCCGTCCCCTAGCCCTTCATCCACCTCGTCACCCTCCACTGACTCCCTCTCTACCCCCTTAGGCCTAACTCTCTCCCCTGTCCTTGCGTCCAACATGTCTGCAGCTAAAATTTCTGAGGCAAGCTTTAGCCCACTGCTACTCGTGTTACAGTTGGTGTACAAGGAATTCCCATGGCCATTGCTTGGGTTGCTGTTGATCAGGGTCCCACTGTAGCTGTTACCATGGTGACCACCATTCCCCTGGTTGCTGAGGAGGGTAGTTGACGTGGTTGTGGTCGCGGTCCCGTTTCGTTTCTCCGTTAGCCGGAATCCCTCGGACAGCAAGCTGGCGCTGCTCGGGGACTGCGGAGTGGCAGAGGAGCCGAGTAAGTCCCGCCCCTTCCCTGACGACAGCGAATTATCTGGCAGCTGGTGGCCCTGGCGTCCAATGTTGCGTCGCAGGTTCAAGAAGTACAGGAGACACATACCCAACACTAAACCCCCACAGAAGAAAAGGATGTAGACAGCCAGGACGTGACGACCTCCGGCTGTGGCTACTGTTCCTCCAACATTGGGGCCTTTTAGTGTGAGGTGATAGGCTGCTCTACGACAGGGGGTGGGGTCTCTGATACCTGGTCCCACCTCCTGGAACCAAGACAAAAAGAGAGAGAGTGTGAATTGGAGTCTGTGGAGTGAATTTGTATGATGAGGCAACAGTTTAAGAATTTGCGGTTAATATCAGGGCCTGTGTACCTGGCATGTGCAGATGTATTTTCCCAGGCTCTCCTCTGTGACCGTCACCTCCAGGTCAGAGTGATGTTGCCGGGTGTGTCTGTGGAGAGGATGTTCCCAGCTGCAGGGCCTGGGAGTCAGCTGGACGCACGGCAACAGGAGCCGCAGGCCGATGGAAACTTGCAGCTCCCTGATGGTAGGAGAGCAACGCCCTGGAGGAGAGAGAGCAAGCGGCAAGAAAGCAGAGGTGAATAACAGGAGACGGGGGTATATTATACTTGTTTTAAATGGATGATTAACTTAATTTACATCACCACATTATACATTTACAGTGGAGTACACATACCCTCCTTTAAATCACATTTCCTCAAGGCATCCTCAACTGAATCACCTGGACCAGGCCTGGACACACACACAAAATGTAGTCAAACTTTTGCATCAAATGTTTTTAACAGGAACATAGATGACTCCTTTGTATTTAAAAACATATCCAAATAATTTACAATATAATAATATTAATGATGTATCAAGTGTGATATGATTTGTGATTGTTGTTGTATCTTTTTTTGTTGGTATCTACTCTAATCAATACAGATGCTGCCTGCTTGTGATTTCCATTCCTGGAAGTCTTCCAGTTCTCTGTGTAGAGAGTAGTACTCACTTTGCTGCTGTGCTCCTGCAGGCTTCTTCCTTCCCGCTCCACACACAGCCCAGGCCTCTGGCTCTGGCACACACCTCACAGTTGGGATACAGAGCGCAGCCTTCAGCCTGGACACGAGCCAGAGACATAGGGCTGCCCACCAGAGCCTGGCCCTGGAAACACAAGATGAAAGCTGATGTGTCCTGGCACTGCAGATGACTATGTGTGTGAGGTGTGTGTACGGATGCATGTAGTCTTACCTTGTGTAGTAATATATTGTTGACAGGTTCATGTGAGGTGAACAGAGGAATCTCTTGCAGTAGGGTGGTATTCTGGCCCACTACCTCCACCTGGTGGAGCTCCCCGCGGTCTGCAACATGCACGATCACATGGTGAACTATTACATCTCATCTTTTACCAAACAATTTTAACACTTGTTTTGTGATTGATTCCCAAAGTATTAAATATGTCCAGAAAGATGCTGCTAGAGACATGTAGGTTCTTATATCTCCTCACCTGTTCCAAGGTGCAGCACCACTCCTCTTGGCTCCGCTCCTATCTGGGTAACAGCCAGCTTGGTGTATCTTGTCCCCTTGCGGACCAGCAGGGGTGCTGCGGTAACGCTGTTCTCCATCAGAGGGTGGTCCCTCACGAATGTCAGCACCTTGTCTGGAAGTTTTAGGGATGAATCCAATCCTTCGGCCTTTAATGCGGTGTTCAAACACTGGAAATATGTGGAGGGGAGAAGAAGTACATTAGGGACATTGAAGGAGGCATTGTATAAGAGATTGATAGAAAGATTTGGGGTAGTCAAGCTCAGTACCTGGCCAGGCCGCGGTGTGGGGACAGGGTTCCAGTTCTCACAGGTCTTCTTCAGCTCTTTAAAGGGGCCGTCCATCACTTTGATGATGTCAGTCAAGGTGAAAACACACACTGCTGATAGCTCCTCACGTTCCCTGTGAAAAAAAAGTATGATTAAGTGTTAATCTGTTAAGGACCAACATTTTGACTATTCCCTTTCTTGCTGAGATATAAAGGAGAAGATCAATAGCACTCCTACAAGCTACAGCCAACAGCCAGTTAGCGTAGCTTAGCAAAAAGACTGGAAACAGCCTGTCTAGCTCTGGTCACCACAAAACCAAGATGGCAAGGAAATAGTCTGTCACAACAAAATCAATCACACTAACTGTTCTTCTTCTTGAACATTTATGACCAACAAGTCAGAATTACAGAGGCACAAACATAATAGAAAGGCATGCTGTATGACACAGCAGTGGTATCAATCCTCAGATCTATCCCTTG